GCCTCAGTCCGTAGACCCAGTGGCTCCACCTCGGCTCCTAGCTCCCTCGCCTCCACCGTCACCCATCGATCCATCAGTTCCACCGTGCTCCCTCGTCCCTCCGGCTCCGCCTTGGTTGGGCGTCGACCCGCCATCCCCTCTGGACTCCTCTCCTCTGGCTGCTCCTCGTCGCTCTGTCCTACCGGCTCCGTTGGGCTCCTTCCTCCTGTCAGCTCCACCTTGGTCCTCAGTCGCTCCGGCTCCGCCGCGGATGTCTGGATCTCCGCCTCTGCCTTGGTCGCCAGAGCCCTCAGCTCCACCCTGGCCCCCCGGATCCTCGGCATCCCCCTGGCTCGTTGGCTCTCCGTCTCCGCCTCGGGCTCCTCCTCCACCTGCTCCGCCACCGTTGGTCGGCCCCCTGGAGTCGGTGGACATTCCTCCTCCCTCCGTCGGCTCCACCATGGGCCACTATTATAGCTGTGGCCAGGGTCCCACCTGGCTCCTCCTGCTCCGGTTCCCTCCTGTCGTCTCCCTGGCTCCTGCCTCCATCGTCACCTCCCTGGACTCTGTTAGCCGTCCTCCTCCCGGAAGTCCGTCCTCCGCTGAAACCTCCACCTGTCTGCTCTGCCTGCCAGCCCTTTGCCTTCCCCTGTCACCATCTCACATCCACTGCCTTGTCCCCCTCCGCCCCTCCCTCTGTTTCTACGGTGCGAGGACGCACCTTCCGGGAGGGGGGAGTAATGTAACACCCCTGTGGACTGTTTGTTGTGGTTTCTTCCCCTTGTGTTGGTTTAGCCCGTCTAATTATTAGTTAATCACCTCATTGTGCTCACCTGTCAGTCCCTCGTTAACTGCCCTATATCTGTTCCTGTCTCTTGCGTTCTAGTTTGTCGGTTATTGTGAATGTTACCCCGAGTGTGAGTGTGTGTGTCTGTCTGTCTCTGCCTTGTTGTTGCGACAAGAAATATCCTTCTTTTGACTCCTTGTCATCCTGCCTGCCTCCACACACCTGGTCCGTGACAGGTAGTAGCTTCCAAAATTGGGTCATAATTAATCTGCGCAATCTTCATGAACAATTTTTATACCCAGATATGTAAAATTATCTGTTGAATCGAAGATAGAAGCATAATCTTGGTTATTTTTTCTCTCTGATTCATTAAGTAACATTATAGATGATTTGGAGTGATTAACTTTATATCCAGATATTTTTCCAAAAGTTTCAATGAGATCCAGGAGTGTGGGGACAGAGCTACTCAGATTTTTCAGGAACAAAATAATATTGTCTGCAAATAATGCTAATTTATGTTCCAGATGACTCTCCTGGATTCCATAAATATCATTATGCGCCCGTACCGCTATGGCGAATGGTTCTATTGGAAGGATAAATAATAAAGGTGAAAGAGGACTCCCTTGTGGGCAACTCCTAGAGATACTAAAAGATTTAGAGACCACATTATTGGTCAAAACTTCTGCAGGGAGCCCAGTACAAAGTAATCTAACCCATTTACAAAATGTATCGCCAAAGCCAAAGCGTGTGAGCCCCTCAAATAGATAGTGCCATTCGACGCGGTCAAAGGCCTTCTCTGCATCAAGAGAGAGTAAAGCCGTGTCTATCCTAATGATTTTTAGCATAAAAGAAAAATCTATAATTTTGACGCATACAATGTATTTTTGGCTATTGCTACAAATATACCCCAGCGACTTAAGACTGGTTTTGTGGTCCAGGGTCACATATATTATGAGTAATTATGAGTAAGCTACCTCTATAGCAGTTACTATAATGAGCATGTCACCGCAAACTGCCATGACAAAAATAAATCATCCACCAGAAGAGCATCATAAATAGTCTGATCCACAAATGCATGCAGTGTTTAATTCATACATAAATGATATTGCATACACCATTTGAATGCTAACTTGGTGTTATTTAAACGGTTTAAAACAGTGTTTATGGTTCACTACTGGGTTTACATGTGAGCACTAATGCCCACTGGAATGATTCTCTGATGGTGGGGAGTCTTGTTTGGCCAAGATGAAATGTGTGTGTTGGAATATACATGTAAGATAGCTCTTATCTCTGTCATTAGCAGACCGTTTTGCCTCTGGTGAGCTAGATCAATCACTGTAGTGTCAAAACGGATGCATGTTGTTTGCTGTTTAATCCTCGACAGCTTCAGTGATTAACTGACTCCATGACGCCCCATGGTGAATCTGGGGTTGGCTACAACCACGCATGAAGCACTGTTTTCTGTGTTTAAAGCCTGTTAACCATTAGCTTAATCAAAATGACATCCTTGAAATGTGAAACATTAGTAGGACTCACTGAGCCCTGTATTTGACAGAAAAAAATTAATGTGAAAAAACGTATTAAGCATCAAAAGCATTTTTGTGTCTAGAAACATTCAAATTAATTCTGATAAATATTTAAAATTAATATTATTAATATTTATATTTTAACATACTTAATATTAATTAGTATTTTAAAAAACATACATTTTAATAGCCACAAATGTATTCCACATTACATTTAAATCTCACTGACTTGTACCTTGTATTTGTACCCTGTTCTTTGACCCTGTTAATGCAGTTGATTTGTATAAAAAAAGCAAATGTAATTACTGCCCTGTCAGTTCATTTCAAAGAGTTGTCAGTTAGGAATGAACTCATTTTCCTTAGAAATAATTGCCTTGGATAGAGCTTTAAAGGGGTCCTATTATGCTTTTTCACTTTTTAAATTTTAGTCAGTGTGTAGTGTGTATGTTTGGGCATAAAAAAGATCTAGAAAGTTACAAATCTCAAAGTCCACTCCAAAGGGAGATATTTAGTTTTTAAAAAATCAATTTTCAAGAACTACAGCAAACGGCTCGTTTGGACTACAGCGTTTGGTTTCTGGGCTTTGTGATATCACAAAGCGGCTCATTAGAATTTCATTACAAATAATTCCCGCCTACAGAAATTCGAATGGTTGGGGGGTGGGGAGGGGCGAGGTTATGGTTAGAACGCTTGGTTGAGTGAGTGCATGAAGAGCTGTTGCAGAGTTAGTGCATCAGAGAAAAACAAGAAGAGCAGCTGCTGTGCTGTAGCCTCAAATTTTTGGCATGTCTAGAACAGCAGTTCTCAATTCCAGTCCTCGCGTACCCCCGCTCTGCACATTTTGTATGTTTTTCTTATTGCTTCATACGTTTGCTATATTTGACTGTAAGTGCCCTGCGAAGTGGACATTACCAGATATTCCTCCATGATTCCAGTTTGAAGGGAGCGTATATGTTCCATACAAAGGGCATTTAAGTGTGCGAGACGTGAATTTAAATTGTATTTATTTACAGAGGTATATTATGTCCCACTTCACGCTTCTCTAGTAAGTTTCGTTTGTGTGTGAAGACGCTGCAGGCAGCCGCGCAGCGCAAATCTGTAAATGAATATTCCGAAGTGAAGTAAACTTCAACGGATTTCCCCTGCTCAGGGAGTAGGGAGCAATGGACACTGTGTAGGGACCATGTCAATCGGAACACAGTTCATGCACGGAGCTCACTTCTAACGAGATGATGATCTGAATCAGGTGTGTTAACAAAGAGAGACGTGCAAAACATGCAGAGCGGGGGTACGTGAGGACTGGAATTGAGAACCGCTGGTCTAGAACAATTCTTACAAGTATAACACGACGTAGCTGTGCGCCGCGGACAGACGCAGAACAGCACCGCCGGTGTGCCTACACTAATAGAAAATAATGTGTTCGAATTTTAAAAATGTGGCGCAATGCTGCGCTTCTTGTCCGGTGCGCGACCGCCTGAAACACTGTTTTTTTTTCACTTCCGAAAGCGGATGATGTCAGGAAACAGTGGTTGCAATTTACTTTTTAACTCTGTTCCTGAGCATTATAACCCCAATTTGCTATTGTGTGCAGCGCATTTTACTGAGGACAGCTTCCACATTACGAGTGAGAAGTGCCGGATTCGCCAAAAGCTTTTGTTGAAAGACAGAGCAAGAGGCGGGGCAGTACTGAAACACCATCTAAGCTGTTCGCCAATCACAACGCACTGGGACAGCTAACCAATCACAACACATTTTGTTTTTCAGAAGGCGGACCTTCATCAAAGCCGGAACTAATCGAGCCGTTTGTGCTAGCCTGGGGAGAAAGGTATTTTAATAATGTAAATTATGTGAAAAATAATGCGTTTTTCGAACAACCAAGCATGAGAGCATGTTCTAGTACACCCCCAAAACAAAATCAAGACTTTGTAAAAGAGCATAATAGGACCCCTTTAAAAACGAGTTAAAGCAAGTACGATATCATAAACATGACACATCTGGAAATGCAAAACTATTTTTGCAAAAGAACATAATTCACCCCTGCACCATAGCAAGTACATGTTAGCAATAGTTTTAACAAATGTAGAATTTCTTACCTGAATATACAAAGTATGACAATGGCAGTGGTGAGAGAGATGAGAGAAACACTGTGCCCGATGGTGTAGCCGATCTTCACCGACCTAAAGAAACTATCCTGCAAAAGAAAAGAATGAATACACGTTTACTAAATAGCACTGAACAGTTTAATTCTTCTTGAATCTTTAAATTACACTACTGTTGGTTTGAGGTCAAGATTTGTTTGTTTGAAAGAAGAAATTAATACTTTTATTCAGCAAGGACACATTACATTGAAAATACATTTACAATATTACAAAAGATTACATATTTTAAATAAATACTGTTCTTTTAAACTTTCTAGTCATCAAAGATCCTTGGAAAAAAAATTCATAGTTGACACAAAAATATGAAGCAGCACAACTGTTTTCAAATGTGATATTAATTAGAAATGTTTCTTGAGCAGCAAATCAGCATATTAGAATGATTTCTGAAGGATCATGTTTTTATTGTACTTTTGATCAAATAAATGACGACTTCTTTCAAAAACATTAAAAAAGTGTAATGACTTCAAACTTTTATACAGCGTGTTCGGTATATGGTATCATTAAACATGCTTTCTAACAAATTATTCTATTAAAAGCAAGAAATATAATTTTTTGCGCTTTATGTGCAAATCTAAATAATTTTTAACAGTATACTGCTCTTAGTACATATGACGACAGTGGGGTAATAACATGCATTCGCAACCTTCATAAACACTACAGCTCAAAAACAAAACAACCGCAGTATGTGACTATGACTCAATGCACTGCCTTTTTTGTCCACTTATGGGATCCTGATGTCTGAAAAGAATGTTTCTTTACTTAAGGCTATCTTTTTTGTGGTAAGAATGGGTACTGTGCTTTCTCTCCCACGCAAAGCTTTGCTAAAAGACTCACCTGCATAGAGCATATTCAAATAACCCCCTCTATAGTCTTTGACCGAAGTTAAATATAAAAACCTGAACATGGCAAGAAGGAGCATCAGACACTCATCAACAACAACATAAAATTCCTTTTAAGTCCCATGCCCACATATTCCCTGTGGGTCTGAGGACCGTGCGTGCTGATTACCCATCCTGTTGATGCGAACACATGCTGGGAAAGCTTTCATCAAAGGGCAAAGGTCATTTGCTCTTCACTTAACTACACTCTGCTCAAAAGATCAAGGTGTTTCATGTTATATAATATCTGCTTCAGTGATGGATTATTAGTATGTTTACAAATGCATCCAAAGGCTGACACCGACGTGCAACGCTAAATAAAGGAACTATTATGTTTGGACTTGTTCGTTTGCACTAGGCAATAAAAGGCTGGCTGGAAAAGCAGGCTAAACGGTTGACTGAAAAAGGGTGAATGTTAAAGCTTGGTTTTTTTGGGTGAGAACGATCGCTTTCTGCAAGCTAAAGGTTCAATACGTCAAGAGTCGGAGCATTTTGGTGTTGTATAATGCCAGTGGAGTTTAAAAACACTAGTTTGACATAACTTTATTAAGATATTTTGCAAGTATGGTGCTTTCTAAAGTCTCTCAACCACCTTCAGAGATGGTAAAGTACACTGAAAAAAAACGATTCATTGAATTTACTAAATTTTTTAAGGTAAGTGGTGGCAATCAATTTATTTTAGCTACATTTAAATAAACAAATTTAGTTGACTAAATTTCAACATATACTTTTTTTAAATGTAGCTAAAATAAATAGTTTGCAACCACTTACCTTAAAAAAATTCAGTATCATTTTCTTCAGTGTACACTGTAAAATCCTACATTTTGTTAACTGATATAATATACCAACTGGTGGTGGTTGAGGAGATTCCCCCCTTCTATGTAAAGCGTTTTGAGTACCCAGAAAAGCGCTATATAAATGTAAGGAATTATTAACATATTGAAGTACTAAAATCTGCTTTGTTCCTTTATAATACACGGACAACTATTAAAAACACAGGTGGTAATGAGAAAACTATATGTAGAATCACAAGTAGATTTTTCACAATCTGAGTCAAATACTAATCCATAGAAGGTGCTTGGTGTCACAGACACAAATATAAAAAAAAACATAATGTGACACTAAAATAACGAAATAAACATGAATTCAACAACATAAGACATAACATAAAACCCTAATGTACATAACTGATCAAAAAAGTAAGAAGAAACAGTTGTGACATACGTGAATGGTAACATAAAGGATTCTGGGAATGTCAATTCACAGTTTTTCAATGTAAATAATAAAATGGCTTGTTCTTTTTCACTTTCAAAAACTGTAAATTTAACAGTATAAAAACTAATGTAAAATGTTAAAAATCTGTTACTTGTTAACCAACTTTTTTTTTTTTTACAGTAGGATTTTACAGTATTTTACCATTAAAATTGCAGGTATGCTCATTTTATAGTGTACTTTGTACTTACATCGTCAACAGTGCCATTCAGATTATAACCACAATGTATTGCGATTTCCATCGGGTCCATCTCGGTCCAGCCATCAGCAGTACAGGTCTTTGAGAGGTTACCTGTGTGAGAAATTTAAAGGTCATTAACCTCAAGATACACACACTGGCTACTCTATTTAGAATCTGCATCTGTTTATTGCGCTCTTGACTTTAACTGAAATGCCATGAGCCCCGAGAGCTGGTGTCCTGGAGTGTGTCCACACAATTAAAGTCAAACGGCTTTTTTGAACTAAAGTAGAGAAACACAGGCCACGTCAACCCTCACTCAGGTGTTTCTTGGCCCTTCTCAATGCACAATGTCACACTGAATGCAAAACTCTGCATCCAATCAATGCGCAAAGAGACCCAACTGAGCACTGTGGCTTACCGAGCACGTTGTTTTGATCTGTGCTGTATACAAATATGAACAATGAATTATTGAGATGCTTGGGTCATACGATTTACCCAGTGTTGAGGAAGCTATGTGAAAGTAGTGTAGAAACAATTTTCAATCAGAAATTGGTAGTAAATTTTACAGTTACAAAGAAACGTCAATTCACACATTTAATTAAAAATGAAAGTTTGAAGCAGAAAAACTGAAATAGTATTTTCTTGTAAATCAAACTAAAAATTAAAAAAAAATAAAAAAATTTAAGTGTACTTTGAAACTGTTATCGCTGTTTGAGTTAGCTAAAATACAGTCAAAATACTGGTTGAAAAGGTAGTACACTACGTTATGAACAAAATTAATTAACTACATTGAAGGTTTATTTTGAGCATTGTTTTAAAAAAATTTAAAAATCATATATTTTTTGTAATTCAATTTTTAATTTTGTAATTTAATAAATAAATAAATTAGCTTTACCCTATCAAATGGTAATTTTTTACTAAATATAACAAAACATCCTAATTTATGTAACCAAATCAAAAACAGTAAAAAGTATTTAAATTAGTAAATCAATTTTTTAAATCTTTTTTTTAATGTGTTCATTCAACGCAACCAATTTATAAGAGTATGACAGTTTTCAATGTTTTATACGAGAGAACAATTTAAGTTGAACCAATTCACTAAACTGAATCAGACCTTCCAACTCTTCATATGCAAAAGAGAATCGTTTAGGAACCATTTCACTTATTTAATCAGACTTTCCAACTACATAGTATGAGAGAGAGAGAACCATTTAAGATAAACTGATTCATTAAAATGAATCTGACTTTCCAGTTCTACATGTGAGAGAGAACTGTTTATGATGAATCGATTCACTAGAATGAATCAGACTTTACATTTCCATATACAGCACAAGAGAGAAAACCATTTTATATGAACTGATTCATTAGAATGAATTAGAATCTTATGCATTTGCACTACATGGAAAAGATTAGCTTGTTACTAAAAAAGCAAGTAAAGTACTTTGAAACCAGCTACTGTTACACTACTGAAAAAATCATTGCGACCAAAAAAATAGTGTCCAATTAATTCTGAGAGAATAGATTATACCACAATCTGACTCATCCAAAAAACTTTTGTATAAGAATAAGGGAGACATTCAAGGACTAGGTATAGGTATCCCTCGACGATGATTCATTTAGAGACAGCATTGTCTTACGGTCCACAAAATTTGAAAAATATGATATATACTTCAGGAGGAAGGACACTTAGTTCCTCCTCAGTGCATTCAAAGCGGGTCCCATGTTACAATGCCACGTATTGATCCAAAACAAACCAATCAATTTCACTCAGGCTTGAATTAAAAAGACTACGAAGGAGTTCCCGCATGTGGTTTCTCTTCAGTGTGCTTGATATGTGAACGCTGAAAGAAGCTGTTTCATAAATGAACACTGAATAGAGCTATACAACAACGTCTTCAAATGGAAACACTCTGTTAAAAAACTAAAAAATTACTTTACGAAAGAACAAATGCCAGCAGTAATAACTTAAATGCGTCAAATCTATGCACAAAGACCACCTGTGCCTGCACCGACATGAAGTGACCTCCACCTATATAACAATGATGTCTGCTTCTGAATTAATCATATTCGCAGATACAGTACAAACCATTTTCCAAAAGTTGGAAGAATTTTTGTCCAATTACAAGTCCCCACTAATATCTTAATGCACGCAGCAACTCACACTTTGGACTAAATTTGAAGGTGGCAAAAAAATGACAATAAGGTCTGCTTTAATATCTACTTGTTAAAAATGAACTGGCCATTGTTTTGTCTATAGTTTTGGCATCCAACTCATCCTGAGAAGAATCAAGTAAACTACATGAATCTGTACTAGAGTTGCAAAAAGGTGGAAAATTTTCAGTAAATTTCAGAAATATTCCAGAAATGTTTTGGTATATTCCAGGGATTTTTGGAAAGTTTACAGAAATTTACCAGATATTTTCCACCCCTTTCCAACCCTAATCAGTACCATTATTATCAAAAAATAAAACAACCTTTTGCTGATCTTTTCTATACTCAGTGCCTGTCAAAATTGGGGGGAGAACTGATTTCTAATTGGAAAACATGGACTCTGTTTCTTAAACCTTTAACTCTAGACACAAGAAATTAAGAAAATAGTGTATTATCTCCCCTATAATTACCCAAAGACAACATTTTTGTCATTATTATATTGTGTAGCTTTAATAAGCTGTTGAGAGTTTTATTGTTCATTTAATGGGTATTGATCTGCTCATTCATCATTCGGAAGATGCACCATAAAAAGTCAATAATGGTAAGTACTAAACACAGCTGCAGTATGTCAAGGCTACAAAAGCAGCACTTCTCTGGTACTGTACGTGAAGGTTTTTGTGTCTGCAAGTTAACTGGCTGAATGGCTCATTAAGAAAACAGACCAAAATAAATTAATTGATGGAAAGCACAAACATTAAATGAATCAACAGGTTAATCAGCTAACGCAATGATTAATGAAATGATTAAGAAGTTTTAACATTTACATGTGATTAACATCAGTTCCCATTCAGTCAGTCACGTTCTACGTTACGTCAGTGACTGACGAATTGGGATCTCTGTTACTGACAATTATACGGTTCACTTAGTCAACAATAAAAAGGAATAAAACAGCAGCCTGACAAATTATGGATCAGTAAAAGTGAAGCTATTGTAAGACACAGGATATAAACGGAAGATTAAGTGGAGTGAAGTGGAACTCAGAGAAAATGTAAATGTGTGTATATATATATATATATATATATATATATGTATATGTACTGCCAGATTCTGGAAGATAAATTCTTCAAACAGTGGTACAAGAGGATGTGGTGCTGGTCCTTCAAGAGACACTCTCAACTTATCTGTCCATAAAGCCTATAAAAAATTTGTCTTAATGTATTTCACAATATTTCAGCATGTTATTCTTATTAAGTGAGGGTCATTTTTTTGGATTTTTTTACCCAAGCAAAATCTCTGAGAACCTGCACCTTGTAAATCTGGAGACTCCAAGAAGGTTGCATTTCTGGAGACTACATGTTTCCTGATTTCCTGGTTTTACATCTAATTCTTCACATTAATTCTGAAATATTTTGCAGTTAATGTGTCTTTTCTTCTCCACCTGTTTTTTCTGACCCCGCTGTCCCAGTGAGCATTTTGCTGTCCAACGGTCATGTCTTAACTTTGCAATTTCTGTATTGCATAAGTTTTTAATATTTCTCATGGGTTGGGTTAGGGTTAGGGTTAATAATTTTAGACTTTTCAGTCTGAGTTAAACCTCTTTTTTGGCTCATTTTATCAGTAAAAGAAAACATGCCTAATAATTCTGCACACCTGAATATAAGGAGTTTTTCCATTCTGAAAAAAATAAAACAATCATAAATTGCATGCGTTAAATAAATAATCTTTCTCTTTTACAATCTTGCAAGCAAAATGCAAAAAAATCACAAGAAAAGCTGACAGAACATTATCAGAAAAGACAAGACAAAAAAAAAAGAGGATTACATTTTCCTTTGCAAGAGTGTGAAGAGCTGATCAGATTATCCCAACATAATAATAAAATGATAAATGATCCCATCTAAAACAATTTGAAAACTGTCACCTTCTTGAAATACAGTTGACTTTCGACTTCTAGGTGCCTGATGGAAAATCTCTTTCCCATAATCCAACAGCACACAACATCTGAATCATAATTATTACCCACATGAAAAACAATATTTTAGCCTTGATTTGAATAAATTATAACATTAATAATGAAAGCTACAACATGCTTATCAAGCATGATTCGTTTTCACTCGCTATAAACAAATCCATCTAATACCTGATGCTACTCCCTGCTTTATCTGATATGCTTATTGTTGTGATTATCAGAAAGACATGGATTAAAATCAGCTAAATTTAATACACTGCATTTATACAAACATGTTACTTCAACAAAAACCAGCACCTGAAAGCTTGTGTAAATTTACTGAAGGGGATGTTTACTCTTGGCTGTTAGTGTAAGCTTTGTTTGTCATGTAAGGTTGACGCCAACCCTCTCACATTTATCAACGTGTGCAAACACCCACATGCAATATATCTATCCTCACACATTATTCCAGTGGACCTCCGGCTTTGTCATAAGCCACAGAGATCCCATGAAGCAAATCCAGAATGCCACATTAATCCTTGGTATTGAACTACGGACAGACTTTTATCATTCTGAAAAGCATAATCTGTCCTTTCCCACTCAAGAGAGAGCATTACTGTGCTTGTATATGCTTTAACTGAAAATCCATCAGAAATGTGTGGAACTTAAGTAAAAGAAATTGCTCCTGAGTGGTATTTCACCATCAGCACTGGTACAGTATGTTTCATTTGCGATAGTGCCATTTGAAATGAACTATACAGGATGTTCGACTATATTAAGCTTTCAATCATAAAGACGCTTCATTTCAAAAAAGACACTGCAAATGGCAGAGGAAATAATATATCACCTCACAGGAAGTGGAGATTAAGTCAGCGGTCACTGCAGTCCACCTGAATAGAACACGAAATCTGGATATAATAAATGTGATAAAAAAATTGTTTGAATGTTGCATTGACCTTCATTGACCTTGCATTGACATCACCTCACATTCATACTGCAAATATACCTGATTACATTTATTTTCATATTAATCACTGCAAACATCACATATTTATCTAATTTGCTTAATTCTGAAAAATTCATTATACTATAAGGTTGCACTGAATTTTAAGGTGCCCTTGTTACAGTGTAGTTATACAAATAATTTCAAAATATGTACTGAGTAATAATAATTACTGTAACTATGTATACTTACTATATAATTAGGGTTAGACTTTGGTTTAGTTGCTTGTATTTAAGCATAATTTACTGCTATTACTATAGAACATGTAACATATGTAACAAAGACACTGTAAAATAAAGTGTTACCTAATATAACCTTATGTAAATTGCATTGGTCACACTTTAGTTTGCCTCAATAAGCTCCTTATTTGCTGCTTATTAATAGCTTGCAAGTTTGTTAAAATTAGGTATGGGCTTGGGTTCTAAAATATGGTCATTCAAAATAAGGCATTAATATGTACTTTATAGGTACTAATAAAGCCAATATGCCAGTAATAAAATTACAATATATATTTAATAGTTATTTATTGAGTATAGTATGTATAACATAAGACTTGATCTGACTCAAGTTTGATGCCTTTTCTGGCCATTCCAAATAAACAGATTTTATCAATCGACAGATATCCCCTCCTCAGTGTGTAGGGAACAGTGAACACAGCATTTAGGAATCCAGTCAATCAGAATGCAGCTACATTATCCTTGTACTAGAGCTAGTGCGGTGAGAATTCATACACTGCTCAGAACAGCAGAGCTAAAACAGGGCTCAAATGGTAACTCTGTTCTTTTTCATTTAACTGAGCTATATTGCTAAAAAAAAAAACACTTGCTCATCAAATGACGAGGAACCACCAGAGGGGCTTCAGTATTTGGCTGTGGGGAGTCATATAAGCAAAGGAATGCATGACTGATCCACTTTCACTTTGATGAGTATGATTACATTTATATTCAGCTCTCAAATGTGGCCACCTTCACACTCGGCTGCATATGAAACAAGCAGCTTTGCTAGATGATTGAATTAACTAATGCTTTGTGATATATACAATCCCCAGGCACTAAAAAAAATACAACAACAACAACAGTGAAATACTGTGCCTCATTAATCAAACGTTCATTAATTAAGCACTACTGAAAGGACTGAATGACATAACAAGAGTAAGACTAAAGCCTACACTTTAATTAAACGCTAAGGTTGAGCACCTTCATGAATACTTCAGTATATAATACACCTTACACATACAGAAGCAGACTATGACTGTACTTGAGAGAACAACAGGTGATCAGGTGATAAAAAATACTTATATATATATAAACTTTTAAACTACACTTAAAGAAAAAGATCATGCAAAAATGATATTGAAATGTTCTCTGATTTAACTTTTTTTGTTTGAATCTCTTAAGTTTTAAAAAAGTACTTTTATGATAGATTTTTTAGATTTTACGATTAAAAGTCTAGATCTGGGAAAAGGACAAAATCTATAAATAAAAGACATTTTAAAAATTAGCAAAAAATAAAGTGACCTCATTAAAAGTCCACTTCCCAGAGAAGTAACACTGTTATCTGTCTCTGGGTTGCTAACAACACAGATTTTTGTTTGAGTCATCAGCACCGGCTCTTCATCTTCACAACACTTTCAAACTAATTTCTCCAATGTTCTTTCAGCCTAGAAATGTCACTGGCATGAAAACTCTCTTACACGGCAGCGATTTTAAACCTCTGTGCTAAACGAAGGGGCTGCATCTTTTATCCAGACTGCTAGCTAGGAACCACTATGACCAGAATAATCCACAGTTCCATATAACTAGCATGAATGAGCAGTTGAAAAAAAATGTAACTGGACATTTCAAAGAAAAATTACAAAATCTTACATTATTACAGCTGGTCATTCCAGCTCGTACCCTGCACATCCCGCTCGCTCATGCTACAGTCTATATGCTCGTGTCATTATTATTCTTCATTCCTAAAGTGTTCAGTGTTCAGTGTGTTCAGAAATAACTGCTTGAAATCCAGAACTCCTCAAAGCAGATGTGCTCTCTTTTTCAGCCCTCTTTCATCACCAGTGTTGGGCAGTAGCGCATTACTTAGTAACGCGTTACTGTAATTTGATTACTTTTTTAGTAACGGAGTAATTCAACGCATTATAATTTTCAAAATAGTAATTAGAGTATAGTTACAAGCCGAGGTCTCTATACGTTCCTGCCACGTTACATTGCTGACAGAATGCAGTGTTTTATAATCTAGAGATTGTAAAAAGGATGTATAGCACACGAGTCAAGTGCCAGTGGATTAGAGACCTGCTCCCGCGAGACCCGACGCAACAGCAGTGCGGCGCGGGAGAAGATGGGTGAGTGCTGGTGCGGGCGGGTAGACACTTGTGTGTGTGCGGGATGCGGAGGAATAAAATGATTCATGGGACTCCCGCAAAATAGAAATATCTAAACATAAAATATCTAAAACAAATAAATTGTTATTCATCTATTGCACAAAAGCAACATGAACTAATATAAAATATAAACGATTAACAGGTGCAAGCGTATGCAGAGTTTCTATTTAGGCTATAACACATGTTTGCAGCGTTGAGCAATGCAGTGCTGAAATTTGCATGCTCACGAATCCTCTCATTATAACACGAATTGTAGACATTATGAAAGATTCATTATGCATATATTTATTGTGTTATAACAGAGATTTGTGAGATTGCAATGAACTGAGATGTCTTTTAGAGATCATAAATGCAGCGCTCTTTGATGGCATTCTGACATGCCAAACCATGCACGCAGCAGCCGCTTGCTTTAGTTAAAAATAACAGTGTTCTGTGAATGTTGATGCTTTGCTTTAATACCAAATATTTATCGGGAGCGTGTATGCTGGGATTTCATAAATTTCATGGAGAAAAAAGTAACGTAACTAGTAGTGTAACTAATTACTAATTACTTTTGAAATAAAGTAATCAGAACAGTAACGTGATTACTTTTAAAAGGAGTAATCAGTAATCAGTAATTTGATTACATTTTCAGAGTAACTTGCCCAACACTGATCATCTCTGAAGAAACACTTTTCATCCTTCAGCACAGAGGCTGTATTTCCATTATATGGAATCGACATTGGTTTCCATTAGATTGTACCTGATGCACATTGCACATGGACATTTTTGCAAATTTAGACGTATCTACAACATTGCCGATTTTGACTAATGTTACCTAGTGTATTTAATAAGTTAGTGTACAATAGAGCTGCAGTTTACAGTGGAATTCAGAAGTCTGAGGCTACTGGTATAAATAAAATGCTTTTATTTTGACTTTACAAATTATAATGTAAATTATAACTATGAAAATATATTTTACATTTTATTTTTATATTCTTGTTTTAAATTGTTTAAATTTATTAATATCATAATTTCAGAAGAAGAATGATTTTCAACACATTCAATCTGCTGTGCATTATCTCACTCTCCTTTTTCACATGAATATGTTTTAAAATATTATTATTATTTATTTTATTATGCCTGTTGTGTTAACCTCTGTTTGTGTTGAATTTATTTTATGTATAAGAAAACCCAATAAATAAATATAAAAACCCCCACAATAAATAGTGTCAAGCAAACAGTTTAATATACTGTAAACATGTAAAGTATTAGTAAAGTAGTAAAAATTAAGGTATTTACTGTTTGGAACAATTTAAAATCAAGAATTTGGCAACACTTTACAATAAGGTGTCATTCGTTAACATTAGTTAATGTATTAATTAACATGAACGAACAATGAACACTACATTTATTACAATCTTTGTTAATGTTAGTTAATAAAAATACAGTCGTTCATTGTTTGTTCATGTTAGTTCACAGTGCATTAACTAATGTTAACAAACACAACTTTTGATTTCAATAATACATTAGTAAATGCTGAAATGAGCATTAACTAATAATAATAAATGCTGTAGAAGTATTGTTCATTCTTAGTTTGTCAACTAATGTAGTTAACTAATGATAACTAATGAACCTTATTGTAAAGTTACCAAGAATTTTATAATTGTTTAAAGATAAGAAATTCATTTGAATTTGAACTTTGCCCTAAGACATCCTTTGTATAACAGGTTAATGCAAGTCTGCTGAACATGGTATGCTGCCAGACTTTTAATGAGTTTAATTAATAGTTTCTGGTGTGATGTGGCTGAGACAGAATTATCAGATAAACAAGTGTGACCTAATGGTAGTACATACTCAATCAATGTGTCTGATTTGCCCCCTAATGAATTAGCCATTCCATCCACTCAAAGCAGCGGTTCTGCTTGTAAAATGTAACCCACAGTCAGTAGTTGTACTGCGTTCTGCAAACATGTTATTAATGTTGTCGTACACTGATGACAACATACCATTAAAATGTCGTTTGCTAGAGGGGAAAAATTGGTTTTGTTTTACTTTGACAATTAAGGGCTTATTTTAGAGTTATCATTTTCCCAAGCTCATCGCTTTGCCTTGAGAAGTGTGATACCAAACAAACTACTCCAGTGAGTATGAGGGAGTTTCAGATTAGCTTCTGAACAACTTCAGACACTGAAGTGCCTCAAAACTTTTAGCTTTACAGCGATGTGACAGCCTATGACAGCCCATGACTGAGGCTGACAAAATGACAAAAAGACACTCTGCACTTTTCTTCAAGAGTTACAGCTGTTGCTTAATGCCTTGAAGTTCATCAAAGGTTTTTGAGGGCGATTTCAACTTACCTTCATGATGATCAGAGAAGTGTCTGAAATAATTTGGACAGGGAATAACCACATGTTCCCCAACTTTGGCTGATGGCCAGCAAGCAATAATATCCCACATCCCTTTGCAGCCTGGCAAAAGAATAAAGAACAATGCTTAGCATTAACCCAATATTTTATAACTCATTATAACCCTCAATGTTGTACAAAAACATAAAACATCAATAGGATTAGAGTATAACAATATCTTAAGACCACTATTAACTTCTTTTATTTTATTAATTATATATATATATACAGTGGTGGCCAAAATTGTTAGAATCAGAAAATATTGTCCTTTTTTGCCTCCAAAACAGGATTTCATTTCATAATGTTCATGAAACATGCAGATGGTTGCTCTGAGCACAACAAATATCAGATGAAGTGAGTCGTACTCTTTTTATCCACTTTTAACTTTAATATTTGGTATGTCCATCTTTTGCAGCATTTACAGCAGCACATCTCTCTGGCATAGTGTCAATACACAGTATTTCCTCAGAAATTCAACACTAATGTTATCCCATGCCTTCTGCAACTCAAGCCGCCAAAGGCTTTCCTCTGAATGTACAATAGATCTGTCCAGTTTATTTTCCAACTCGCACCAAATTTGCTCGATGGGGTTGAGGTCCGGACTTTGAGGGGCCAGTCCATCATTTTCAATGTTCCAGCAGATTCCTTCCATCGCAGGTAGTTCTGGCAATAGTTTATTTTATGGGTATTGTAATGGCCAATTCAACAAAAACAACTGAAACCTCTGTACTGTATACAGTGGTGGCCAAAATTATTAGAACACTATTATTTTGACCAGATAAAAAATGGTTTTAAGTCAGTTATTTCTATATTTTGCTGTAGTGTAGTAGGAAATATCAGTTTACATTTCCAAACATTCATTTTGCCATTAATTGTAATAATCCAGTAAGATTTTTGTTTGCACAAAGAGTCTGACAACAGCCAGTGCTCCACACAGAGATCTGATCTAATCATCATCCAGTCTGTCTGGAATGACATGAAGAAACAGAACAAACTGAGACATCTCCAAGATGCTTCAAGAAACCTACCTTCAAAGCTACCTGAAAAACTATGCGCAAGTGCACCTAGGGCAAAAGCAGTTTTAAACGCAAAGGATGGTCACACCAAATGTTGATTTAATCCATCATTTTCAATGTTCCAGCAGATTCCTTCCATCGCAGGTAGTTCTGGCAATAGTTTATTTTATGGGTATTGTAATGGCCAATTCAACAAAAATAACTGAAACCTCTGTACTGTATACAGTGGTGGCCAAAATTATTAGAACACTATTATTTTGACCAGATAAAAAATGGTTTTAAGTCAGTTATTTCTATATTTTGCTGTAGTGTAGTAGGAAATATCAGTTTACATTTCCAAACATTCATTTTGCCATTAATTGTAATAATCCAGTAAGATTTTTGTTTGCACAAAGAGTCTGACAACAGCCAGTGCTCCACACAGAGATCTGATCTAATCATCATCCAGTCTGTCTGGAATGACATGAAGAAACAGAACAAACTGAGACATCTCCAAGATGCTTCAAGAAACCTACCTTCAAAGCTACCTGAAAAACTATGCGCAAGTGCACCTAGGGCAAAAGCAGTTTTAAACGCAAAGGATGGTCACACCAAATGTTGATTTAATTTAGTTAATAGAAGTTAATTGATAAAGAAAATCTATTTATGACATTATTTTTGACAGCACCCTCATTTTACAGCATTTTTATACAAGTGCCTAAAACTTTTAACAGTTCTGTGGCTTTGCAGGTAGGTCTCTTGAAGCATCTTGGAGACGTCTCAGTTTGTTCTGTTTCATGTCATTCCAGGCAGTCTGGATGATGATCAGATCAGATCTCTGTGTAGTGCACTGGCTGTTGCCAGACTCCTTGTGCAAACAAAAATATCACTGGATTATTACAATTAATGGCAAAATTAATGTTTGGAAATATAAACTGATATTTCCTACTGACACACTACAGCAAAAGATAGAAATGACAGACTAAAAAATAAAAATAAAAACTTGGCCATGACTCTGTGTAATGATTCATTCATGAATTTGAGCATGAAAATTAATATTTAATGTAGCAAATAATTGAAAATAACATAATTTTGCATTTTATATATATATATATATATATATATGTATGTATTCCAGCATTTATTTGGTACATTAAAGTGTTATTTTCATGCACAAAACACTGATTAATTATTATACCGAGAGATGCCTCCAATGGTCCAGCCAAATACTAATTTGATAGCACTAACTTCCTGCAGAAAAATTATACAAATGTGTCACTGGTTCATTTCCCTAGTGTTTTCATTAGTCTACACTGTCTAAATTTAACTAGGGTTTATTTAAAGGGGTCATATGATGCGATTTCAATTTTTCCTTTCTCTTTGGAGTGTTACAAGCTCTTGGTGCATAAAGAAGATCTGTAAAGTCTCAAATCCAAAGAGATATTATTCTTTATAAAAGTTTAGAGTCTACCTAAAACGGCTCATTCTAACACGCCCCCACGTCTACGTCACGATGTGGGAAGATTTGCATAGCGCCGCCCAAATGTTCAAAGAAAGAAGGCGTAACTTTTATTCTCACTGTAGTATTGTTGTTGCCGCTGCCACCATGATGTGAAGGCGCTGTGTGTTTCGTTGTGAAAGCGAAACTACTTTGTTTGGCCTTCCAAAAGAGGACGATATCGGCTTCGTCATGCCTGGAGCTGATCCGTGCTGATCGCTGAGGAAATACATCAACTTCGCGCTGTGGATCGCTGGATTGGCTTTCACAGTGGATGAAGTGGAGTCCAGCCCGGGGTCGTCACATGTGGTTGCCACAAGCCCACCGGCCACTCCTTTGTCGAATCCGCCGGCCTCCGCTCACTCTAGCCCGCCGTATGTGACGCTGTGTTTCGTTGTGAAAGCAAAACTACTTTGTTTGGCCTTCCAAAAGAGGACACGACTAGTTCCCTTTCATGGGAACTTCGAACTGCGTCCTCTAGGGGTCGCTATGGGGAACGCCTCGTCGTGACCCGTGTCTGAAGCATACATTGAAAAAACACCAACTCGTTGGC